AATTATATACGACCATGAGTACGTGGAGGGTTTGTCATGCGATGGGAACAATGGGCGGAAAGACAAAGAAAGCGAGTCAGCGAAGGATACCGAAAAAAACAAAGCAGGGAATTGCAGTACATCTGGAAACCACCACAACCCAAATGCATTTGGAATTGCAGGAAGAAAAAAGATAGAGAGTTGCTAAAGGGACATGAATGCTTCGAGTGCAAACGTTTTCGTGACGCGGTTGGTGTGCACGGAAAAGAACGACATGATATTGTGCAAGAATGTTCACGACACAAGAAGAACCAACGTAGACCGTCGACACCACCTGGTTTTTGGAACATAGGCTTCTCTGATTCGAAAAAGTAGGATGCTTGAGAGAGAGAGAGAGAGAGAGAGAGAGAGAGAGAGAGATGTAACGCATAATATTGTGTCACGTGCTGTATTTCATTCTTGCAGCCAGTACAAGGTTTCGTTGCGGTGTCGTTATTATTTGAGTTAATCGTGTGCGCAAATGTCGAAAGACAAACTACTGAGCGACGTAAGACTCGCAATTAAAGATGTGGTCAACACTCTTGAAGTGGCTACGAAACGCTTGCATGCAGCCGAGGAAGTCCTTCAGAGCACGACTACTGATTTGCATGCTATGCGACAAGAAATCGACTTGCACGAACGACGTGTGAATGCTAGGGAAAATGAACTTCAACATTACAGAACACAAGCTGCTCATGCAAATCAGCCATGTGCTGATGGTTCTCATATGAACAAGATGATGTCTAACACATAGACTGTGAGGTGCAACAGTGAGGGTTGTTGCGTAGCATGTGGTCGCTACCCAACTGGGAGCACAACAATGGCTCCCCCGTCTTCGGAAACCTTATGTCGGAGGAATGTTCCATCGCCCAACACATTAATCCGATCAGTGAACTCAAAAAGAAAATTGTCATTTACAAACATATGATGTCGCATTTGGGACCGGGAGAATGTGCAATATATGCGGGGTTCATTTATTCGCAAAGCGATATGTTTCACACACGTAAGTACGTCTCTCTCTCTCTCTCTCGCATGCGCGGGCGACCACGCCATCGAACACGTTCGTGTCCTAATGTCTAAGCCAACCACGTACTTCAGTACCTTTGTTTCTCAAACCGGTTGACGGTGATTTGATGTATGATATCGTATTCCCCCTTGTGCATCGCATACTATACACACACTACGGGACGGTTGCTCGGGACGGCGTCTGGCGCCTGGTCGTGTTACCGCCTTATTTTGTTTCCAATGGCGATGATTTATCTGCCATGTTTTATTCTTGCAGTATAATCCAACGATGAGTACCATTCGTTATTTTTTTTCTATGTTTCTTCGTTGTTGGAGAGAGAGAGAATGATGGTTTCAATGATTGTACACTTTGTTTGTACATATGTAAGCCCTATCTCCCATGTGTTTGTTATATGTTTTCAATTTTTTTTTTTCTTTTGCCTGCTTTGCGTTCTGAAATTTGTTTTCGTTTTCGGTATGTGGAGTGGAGGTACAATACTAAGGTAATCGGTGCTCGTAATGTTCTGTTTTGTAGATTTCAAAAAATTCACACATAAGCGACAGAACAATATTCACCCTTTTCCATACATGGACCGTCGACGACGAAGGGCTGCCGTGCGGGCCGACGTAGTAGTATTTGGAAATGGGACAGATACTGATCCTTTTCGCGACGAGGAGCTGACAGTCGCCGAGATTAGGAGCCGGTGGCCGGGACCCGCAACGCTTTTGGAGGAGGCTGTGACTTTTGCTGGCCTGGAGGAGCATCTGCAACAGTGCATGAATCTGCTTATTGGTCGTGCAAATCTCGAACCCAAGCAGAATCGTTACAATGGATATGTCGCTTTTTCTCGGCTGTGCGGGCTCGTCGTTTTCCGACAGAGATTGCCAGATGAGTTCCAAACCACAATGCGGGAACGATGGTCAGATACAATCATTCGAGGTCTTGAACTACGACAATGTGATCCTCCTGAAAACGCGTGCCCACATCGACGTGCACGGCGGTAAATGTTTCACGACACGAGAGATAGATAGATAGATAGATAGATAGAGATAGATAGATAGATAGATAGATAGATAGATAGATAGAGAGAGAGAGAGAGAGAGAGAGAGAGAGAGAGAGAGAGAGAGAGAGAGAGATTATGCTTGCCTTCAGTGTGAGTATGTTTGTCAGTCCGACTGTGTGTTTGCCTTGAGTGTGTGTGCGTGATCGTAAACTTAAGCGTGGGGGTTACTTTTTGTGTGCCCCGTAACGGCCCGTGCTTGTTCGACAGGCCATCAGGCCCGGTACTTACCTATTGTCGTGACTTGCAGGGATTGCATTATGTAAAATTTGGTTTCCCTGCTATACATCATCTTCTTTTTTTTATAATCCTCGATCTCTCATTTGAAGTTCATTTATTTGTTTTTGCAGTTGTCATTGTACCATTGGCGATTCTAATCCTTGCTCTCGCCACTCAAGTTCATTCATTTAGTGTTGCAACTGGATGTCATTGTAATACTGGGTCAACGTAAAAATCTGAATTGGTTCGGCTATATAATGTGCGATCCAACTATTGCTTAAGAGCGTAAGCATGTGAAGTATGGATGTATGTGTAACTCGACATTGGTCCAATAATATCTATACACACAGGAAAAAAAAAACAAAAAAGAACAAGCACAAAATATAAAATACCATCAGATGTGTGAGAAACAAAAATAAAAAATAAAAAATAATATATATATATCGTCAAATAGAACTGCCCGGTAAACCGTAGGCAGAGAGGGAGAAGAGGACAACAAATGAGGGGCTGTGACAAACTGTTTCGTCAGAGTTTCACCGACTCATCAGGAGGCTGAACCCTGACTACCCCGGTTGACCAGGCTGGTCATGTGATGAGCAAGCCAGTCGTGGATACCCCATGGTCATGACCAGTAGGGATTCATAGCGTGCTGGTGTCCAGGCAAACTGGAAACACAAACGCCCAGAGGGGGCAGCTTTNCAAATGAGGGGCTGTGACAAACTGTTTCGTCGGAGTTTCACCGACTCATCAGGAGGCTGAACCCTATATATATATATATATATATATATATATATGACGATATATATGTATATATATATATATATATCACTTGGTTGTTTGACGATTTTTTTCGGCGCTCACACACAGACATTCTCAAACACGCCCACACATGCATAACAAGAGGGGGAGAGGTGACAGAGTCAAAACCGCACACAGACAAGGATAAGCAGCAAAATTCAACCATGCACACATGGGGGAAGTCACACAATGACTCTCACTCTCCGAAAGACTCCCAACAAACAATCACAATAAAGAACCTCAGCAAAATCACAACTGATATGATGCTGATGATGAGCCAACTCGAACGAATATCATAACAGTGTTTGTTACAGTCCCTTCGTCCCCAATCGATTTCCCTCATTCTATTAATAGAGTACAGTACTTTGACCTACACGTAGACCGGACTGACTAACCGACCAATACCGTTGCAGTTTCGCCCTCTCGGCCTCTACCGGACCCGACTATAGGCTATAGGACCGTCCATCAGCCCAGGCCATGAGGGCATGTCTTTCCTGGGGGTAGTCCGGGCCTGCTATTCGCAATAAGTGTACGTATAGGAAATTCAAAATACTGCTGGGCCTATATTTCCCATATTTACAGATGTGGCCCTCACGGATTTTCCTGACAGGTTGGTCTCACGGTTAGGCCCGAGTCGAACAAAATTACAACTTTAACCCTACGGTGTAGTATACAGCCTCGCCATCAGTCTTCACAGTCAGATTGAGCAAATATATATATATATATATATATATATATATATATATAAAATCAACACGTCAAACTAAAAAGCCAACAAATATAAAAGTGGCATGTACAAGATACTACAACATAACACAATGTCAGTCGTCGAACAACTCGGCATCATCTCCGTCCGATAGAGAATCGCATGATCGATCGGGCACGACATTTGTTGGTACAGGCAACCCATCCCCATCGCCAATGATGAAAACATCGTCATCCCCCACAACGTCGAGATCCGCACCTGAAGCAACGTCGTCCTCGTCACGGGCAATGGTATCCTCGCCTTTGCAAAAAAGATCGCGAGGCAGCGGAGGTGTCGAGGAACCGACCTCGCTCGACACATCACAGTCGTCGTACTCGAGAAGCCGTCGAACCCAATCTGAAACGCATTTCGAACCGAAGATGAACGTGGACAGTCGATCCATCCACGAATCGGTAGGTGGCCGATTGTGACGGTAGTGGCTCGGCCTTGGACGAATCGAAGTTCCAGAAGACCTGCGGACACGATACTCCAAGGGATCCTGCCATGCATGACTGTTCCATCGAATGACTGCAATCGCCAAACGCGGCTCATACGACTTCTCGAAGTGCAAGGCCTTCTTCGCGTAAATGATGATTGTGCCCTGGAAGGTCTCAACCGTCGACGTGTGACGGAACTTCGTGTAGTACGAACAAACGGTCGTGCTGCAATGCCTGCCCAACGTGTGGCGAATGATGTCATACACGGGGTCGTTGTGCGTGTACAGAGGCAGCCGAGATGGGCCACCCGCCTTTGAGCATAGAAGCTCTCTGTCCGCAACGCACCTGGAGTGGTCCCCGGCCCAATGGTCGGCGATCATCATGACATCATTGTGCAGAGTGACAAAGTCGCCGCCCTCATCTCTGCAAAGTTGGGAAGCACAAAGAAACCAATGCCCCACCTCATGCATATGGAACTCAGTCACACCATCTGCATCCGCGGCCAAGGATTTGTTGTTTGTCATCGTGCCGTATGGGTACATTTTGCTCATCACAACAGCGACGAAGTCGCTCTCGTCAATCGTTCTTCTTTTGTCGTCAAACACCCTGGTCCAAAACGGTCCGTCAAGGCATCCAACAGCTCCTTCTTCGTGAACTGCATAAACTGAGATTTCGACACGCACTGATGACGGTTGTTTAATTTCTTTGGCACCTTCAGTTTCACGACTTTTCTAAGTGCCTTCCGAATGTTTTTCACCTTATGATGGCAATCCTTCTGCCATTTAATACCCAGGCGCTCCAACTGTGGACCCAATGCAGCACAATCGTCGGAGACAACGCAACGGATCTTCAACCCCCTGGACAGCAAGCCTCTCAACAGGCGCACAACAGCAGGAACCTCAAGTTGGTTCGACGCCTTTCCCTCTTTTTTTGGCCGAAGAGTGTGAACACCCACCACAAGACGAGTATCACACTCAATCGCGGTAACGGTGCAATGATGCGCAGACCTGGCCGAGTCGTAGCGACCGTCAACCATGAAAGTGACGGGTCTCCCTGATCGCATAACCGTGTCAATGGCCAAGTCGCTATACCGCACGCCCTGCCTGACAACCTTTGCATTCCAACCCTCATGCACATTCGGCTCACCGCGCATGCAACTGTAAAAAGTGGGCTTGTGCACAGGTGCCACCCCAAGCGCGATGCAGAAGTCGTTGAGGACGGTATATGTCATACCCGCAGTGACGGTCGCATGGAACAACTGTTGCTGAAGTCTGCAAGAGTACACAACTCCCACAACCAGTGCATTGTGCCATGTCCAATGACAGGACTTCTTACAAGCGAACGAAATGCGACAAATCTGCCCAGGATAACCGACAGAGGACACATCCACAACACAACCGGCCCCGTGGCGCGGGCAACTCAAATCGAACAACCCGAGCAACTGCAGCAGCTTCACCGGCTCCACGAAGACGACATCAGGCGCTTTTGAGCCTTCCCAGTGCCCCATCGATTCCAACACATGTGCAAACCGATTATTGCAAGGTCCGCTTTGCAAAGCACCGTCCTTCGAATCATCCCAGCACAAAGGACGTACATGTTTGAAATGCGAACGCGACCTGCCACGGCTTGGTGACTGCCCGCGCGATCTGCGGCCACGCTGTGACCCGTGCCCTGAACGTGGTAGTGAATCATCCGACCCACAAAATGACCCGCCATTGCCTCCACCGCTCCCTTCGCCCTCACGCTCGCCATCATCCTCAGCGTCCGCTGTCCTCAGCGTCCGCTGTCGAATCATCCTCTCCTGCTCCGAGACGAAACACATCTGCACGACTGCCGGCCGGTAGTGTTCTCTCGATCCTCGACGCCACACCGTCCCCGAACTCTGACTGGATGGCTGGCAATGACCAATGCAACAGTCGGTCGACGACATCGCTCATGACCCCAGACTTGTCGCTCACTTCTTTCATCGCAGATTGTAAAAGGCGCAGTCTCTCCTTGCAAGCGGTAGTCAGGAACAAATGAGAGTACTTCGCGGAACCAATTGACTGCGAACCGAATTGCCCCAAGGACCCGCCCGAGTATTTAGAAGGACCCGCACCAAGATTTTGAGCGTCAAGATCGCAACGGCCGGGCCCATCTCCGCTACCACACACAATATCATCCTCGTTGAACCGGGAGACGAGAGAGCGACGGGCGGAATTACGGTCATGTGTGTCCCCGGCAGAGGCACGACGTGCATCATCCAATACACCCCCCTGCCCATGACCTGATGCGGCGAACGAATGTGAGACCCGCGGTTCTGGACTTCGACGTCCTTCGTCACGCAGTGTGGACCCTCCACTTCCAAACACCGCTGCTGATGATTGAGATTCTTGAGAACACCCCTCTAGGGGGATGGAGTCCAACCCGTCGCGTCCAACGAAAAGTAGAGGAGGAAATGGCTGCGCTGCACATGACAGAAACTGCAAACGGCGAGGTTGCAATGGCGGCGACAGCACAGGAAAACACATTGCATCGAAATCCGACAAAGGGTGTACCGGAGTGTAAGGACGGCGTGCTGAAGACGGCAACAAGGGCGGCAACGGAGAATGCACAACTGCAACGCCGGGAGTGACGACGACCGTAGGCGAAAGAGAGTGAACACAAGGCCTCTTTGTTGATCGCATGTCATCCGGGCTGCCATAAGGGGATACTCCCAGGAAAAACGCGCTGTCCGGCATGCGGTGACACCGGCGTGGCATTGCCACGCGCGGGCCAAGTGGGTGGCCGTTCTGCTGACCTGCCGTCACCAGGCGTGCAACTGGCAGGTGCGTCATCCATGACAGATGGGCGGCCCTCTCCTGCGCCGTGCGTTTGGTGCGTGCTGGACGGTGCAATGCCGACAACACAATCTTGAAACGGATGAACTGCCAAATCGCAAAAGAACAACGTCCGGTCCTGTAATTAGCAAACAGTCATCGGTTGACAGACTCAGTGACTTGCATTGTCACCGATGCACTGGAAAAGAGACTGATTTAGAGACAGACTCGCGAACTTCTTGACAGATTGACCTTCGGCCAGACCGCCTGACACACATCCAATGCAGCGCCTGAGTGACCAACTTGATGACATGTCAGAAACCCCGCACGACAAACCGGAGTCATTGGATTGATCGAATGATCGATTGAATGATTGACTTATATAAATATATATATATATATATATATATATATATATA